TAAATCTTAATATGCTTCCTCACGAAGTTTGAGGCCTGGGGAGTTAGTTAACTTCCCCGACATGAGCTTGGAATGAAATTGTTATGAGAATGCACGTGTATAAGTCCCAGAGCAACACAGGACACTTTATAAACGGTAGCAGTGAAAATAGAGTCTACCGGAAGAGGCAAAAAATCAACAGACAGCGTCAGAACCGTGTCCTAAACGTTTAACATAAGAACTATGGGATTTTGAGGCTTACTTCTTCCTACCTCCATGGATGCGCCCCCAGTTCATGGCACCATCATCTTTTATGCTGATGACCACGGTGTCTCCTCAAACGGTAACCCTGCCTCCCCTCGTGCCCCTGATGCTGCACCCCTCACGCACCAGCCAACATGATTTTTTTTAAATGTCAATTGACTCATGCCACTTCTGTGCCTAAAATTCCGTCACCCTTAGAATGACATCCCCACTCATCACTAAGGCTCGAGGCAGTACGGGAACCAGCCCGGGTCCTACCGATTTCCCTGCGTGCTTACTCACCGGCCGCCTTTCCGGGACACATCACATTGGTTCTGGGCCATTGCGTTCGCTCTTCTCTCAATTCAGAATGCTCTCTGCCAAGACCTTTGCATGAGTAGTACGGCTTAAATGTCAACATCTCCAAGAGGTTTTCCAAGACCACCCTATCTAAACTTCTCCCCGGCTTCGCACCTCACCAAGTCACTCCCTTTCCCATTCCCCTGTTGTATTTTTTTTTTTCACAGCCTTTACCACTATTTTCCATTTCTCATTCCCCCCTTTTTTTAAATCTGTTATCTGCCTCACTCTCTCCCCCCGTCCTTTACCAAAATGTTGGCCTCATCAGGGTGGGAATTCATCTGTGCTTTGATGCTATTATTTCCAATGCATGAAACAATTCTTGGCACATAGTGGGTATCCAGTAAATGCCTACTGAATTAATAAATGGAAGATGGCAGATTGTTTTAACTGGTAGGTAGGGTCTTGCTATCAGACATCATAGCTTACCCAGAAATTTCTGGATGTTTCAGTAAGAAGGAATCTGTTTAGCATTTCATAATATGATATATATATTTTACATCAGAGGTACACCTGACATCCTATGTAGCCCACTTCAGTTCAAAATGCTGACTGCCTGCCTGAAGGTAGAGAGTTTCTTTGATGGGTGAAGAAGTATTTTGAAATTCTCAAATAAGTCTCAATGTGCAATTCAATTCAATTGTTCCTTTTAACTAAAATATTACTGCATTCCATGTGGCACTTGTAGAATGGGGTGGCATCACCATCCACCACCACCATCTTCTCTACCGCAAGAAGATGGGCTGTCATAGCTTCAAAAAGACAGATGATCACCCACTGGGGTTATAGGTACAATGGAAATTTATAGAGATAGTGAGGTTTTCCTAAACCTGCTAGTAACACATAAAGTGATTCTAGGGATTAATATTTTTCTTATTGCAATAGCTACTTCATTGTGCATCTTTTCTGTTCTTGCTCATCCATCACTGTCACTGGAATTAATCTATTACTATGCCATTTCTTATCTTGGTGGCTTTGAACTTGTTGACTAGAGTTAAGTGGCAGGACCATATTTTACTCTTTTCTTCTAAAAAAAAAGAATTAATTTGACTCATATTTTCAATACCTTTTCTATGAGTTAGTAAAAAAAATACAATAATATAAAAGAATAATGTTATCTCTCCCCCAAATGATTGGCCTCTTATCTAAAAGAGAATTATAAGAAATATAAAGAAAATACTTCTTGGAACAGTAATAGTTAAGGCATTTAGTATTATGTTTTATACTTAAATCTACATCTGGTTGTTGCTTCAGTACTTTTACCTCAGTAGAAATTAGGACAAAGAGCATATGCAGGTAATTCACAAAAGGAGAAACACGAATTAATTCTGTAGGTATGATTATTTTTAAGTTCCATGTCTTTAGTAATCTGAGTTATATAATTGTATTGATAAACACTAAACGTATTTTAAAGGAAATATAGCATCGATCTATTTGTGACAGAAATGGGTATTCTCATAACTTACCAGTGGGATAGCTTATTATTGTAAACTTTCTGTAGAATAATCTGGTCATTTACAGCAAAATACCTTTATAACGGGCAAGCCTTTTAATCTGGCAGCTCTGCCTTTAGGAAGTTGATCTCCTTAAATGCTCAGAGATGGGTACAAGAAGATTAAGTCTAGAGATGTTCATTGCAGCATTTTATATGACAGTGAGAAAACAGAAGCAACTTTAATTCCCAACAGTAGGAGATTAATTAACTAGATTTTGATTTAACCATATGAGAAAACACTCTCCAGCCATTAAAGTAGTTGTTGAAGAAGGAAGCTTACCGCATGGGAAAAGATTCATTAGATATTTATAAGTGGAAAATGAGGCTATGAACCAGAGTTTGAAGACATACTCTCATTTTTAAGGAAAAACGTACTGGATAGGTAAAAAAATAAAATCGTAACTGTCTATCTTTAGGGATAGCATGATGGTTGATTTTTACGATTTTCATTTGTGCTTTCCTGTGTGTCTAAATTTTTTGCCTTAAGCATATAGGTATTTTATAAATAGAAACAAACAGCAAAAATTGCAGCCAAAAAACTATCAAAACAATGAGGTAAGAAGAATGTTATCTTCAGCATTGTATTCTTGACTTCAGCCGTCAATGTATCACCTAATGATTTTTGCCATTAAACCAACTCCTAGCTCACTTTTAAAACCTGTCTTTATCCTTAGAAGTCATATATGTGAAATGACAGTTTTGATGTACTAGGTGTTTTTTTTTTAAACAATATGCGTTAACGTGAAACATAATCATTAAAATAGAAGCTCTTCGCCCGTCTGCCTCTTAGATCATGTCACATCACCGGTGATGTGATAAGCATGGTTGTGGTGACCAGTGCCCCGAAATACTGACGTTGGTGGGACAGATCCCTCTGACGCCATCCCTGGAAATTAGCCCCAGACCGACCAGAACAGCTTTCCCCTGAAGTCTGCACTTCTCCTGCCCTGCAGTCAGGATTCAGAAATTACAGATTGACTCGCTCACTTTCTCGTAGATTATACTCAGCCCGGCAGAACTCTCTCAGCTCACAGGAGCAGAGATACAGAACTGAACATCATATGACTTGGATTCTCACCCTGTTTAAGTTGTCTTCTGTTGTTTTCTATTTTCTGGACCTCCTTCTTCTGAGACAGAGCAGTTTGTAGGTGCTTCTAAGTCTGGCGATGAGCAATGTTTCTCTGAATGCATATTGACATTTTAGGGGAAACTGTAATCCGATTTCTGGGGCAGCTTTCTGATGGTTCCTGTGATGTCTCCCCGAGGTGCTGCCAGTTTTCATCTCAGATGAGAAATGAAGTTTAACAAACAGTGATTCTATCAGTCACATATCAGTTGTCTGTCGTAACATGAGCCGTGTCTCTCAAAAACATTTTTATAAAGGCAAGGAGCCGTATAACATATGTCTCCATTTTTATGCACAGAATTTAAGGTTGAATTTGTTTATTTGAGATTGCATGGTCATATCTCATAGAAGAGTTTGCTCATACTCAACATAGTAATCCATGTAAAGTAACCTTTATTATGAAATCAGTGTTGTTCTTGTTTTCCTAAACTCTTGAGAGGAAGCCGTCAATTATGTAGCTATTTGAACATGTGAATGGAATTCCTGACCTAACTTTAAAAAAAGTAGGATAACCTCTTTGAGAATGGGTGGTATCAGCTGAGGAATGAGACTCACACAGATACGCTTTCCATTTTCATAAAGTGCAAAGATGACGATGATGATGATATTTCAAAAGTTTGAAAAACGCAGTGCACCATTTTCCCTCATTCCTTTCAGTCGCTTTCAAATCTTGAGTCAATTTGAAGCCCAATTAGGTATACCAGATAGATGCTACTTCCTACCCCTCTGCTTAAGCCAGTGAGTTTTAACTGTTTGGTTCTCAAATGTGTGGACATTTCCTCTTGAAAAACACTTCTGAGGT